AAACATTAAATTATGTGGGTCTCTATCTACCAATGCCTGTTTTTTGCATGATCAATTATATGTTTCTTATTAAGAGTTACTTCTTATCAATGTTCTCAAGCTCTTATCTCTAATAAGACAAAAGTAACCAAGACCATTAGACAAGGAATATTGTATATTATGAAGTTTTTTTAAAAAAAATTTTTTTTTTTTACTCAACTTTATATGATATATATGTATTTGAGAAATAATATTTTAAAAATATATTTCATGTTATGATACAATACTTGGCTCACATTTCTAATGTATTTTGTTACTTTATCTATTATGCTATAATTTCAAAATTTGATTTATACTAATTTTTTTTATATAATATCATTCTGCTTCTATTAATCAGATAAGTCTATTTTTACTGTGTCTTTTTTTGTATAAATAATACAACTTTTAAAAAGAAAGATAAACTAACTCAAATATTTAAAATTTGTTAATTTTATAAATTTTACATTACAAATCATAAAATTAACCGTTGCATAGAAACGGATCTCATCCGGTATTTAATAATATAATATCATTTGTATTCATTTTATATTCCTATTCCTATATATCCATTCTATTCGTGTTACCATCAAATCAAATCATATGAATCATATCGAAACTTAAATCAAAAATAATAAATTTCGAAAATAAAAGAATACATTTAAAGAAACCATTTAAGGAAATCCAATCAAAACTTTATCAATTCGGACTTCTTTTATCAATCAATTTCTTTTTCATTCATTCAAAGAACTTTATTAAATTACCATATATTTTTAAAATCATTTAAAATTAGAGAATACTAATACAAAATGTAATTTAAATTATTTGTTTGCATAAGTGTGAGAAAATCATTCTAAAATTTGGGAATTTAAGATACATATGAACCGATTATCGATAGTGATATTTAATGATGATTATGAAAAAGAAGAGGTAATGGTGACGAAAGAGGAGATGATATAATGATAATTTGATATATAAGATATATAATACATGTATAATACATGTATAATATAATATTATTATGTCGAAGGGAACAAAGAAAGAACAAACAAACAATTGCTGTGTACTATTAAAAATTTATTTATTGTTACCTTATTAATTTAAATTAATATTTATATTAAATCGATATCAATATTTATATTAATTAAATTTGCTCACGTGATATTCGGTAAATTTGGTGAAACGAAAAAAAACTAGAATTTTAATAAAAATGTGAAGTATTAACCAAAATTGTTTTAATTTATCACCTATTAATTCTCGTTCAAAAAAGGACCAAAAAAAAGCGCGTTAAATCTATTAAATTTGCATTAAATTTGTTTAATTAATGTTAAATTGAGTTAAATCTATTCAAAACTTGAATTTATATAAGATAAAATATGTTGTAACCGAGAAATTTCTGGGGGGTTTTTCTGAAAAAAAATAAATAAACAAATAAAATTAATTACTGTTATATTCGGAATTTTTTAAAAACAACTAGTAATTAAAGCTTTGTAACAATATTGAACAGAAAATACAAAAAAAAAAAAAATAGAGTTTAAAAATAGTGAAAATATTTCACGCGTATAAAACCTACAAATGCGTATTAATGTGTATAAATGCGTGTGTAATGTGTATAAATGCGTATGAATGCGCGATTACAAATTAAAAAAAAATAATAATAAAAACAATAATAACAATAATGCGTTTGATAATTTATAGTTTTTTGAAACAAAAAAATAAATTTGAATATTCTTATCGAATAGATCATTCTAAAAAAACAACTGAGATTTCAAAACTTTCTTTTTAGGGGTTTTCGAGTTTTTTCTTTTAAAAGTTTAGATCACGACATAAAATAAAAAAATAATGATACAAAAAAAAAAAATTCAAATAAATATAAATAAATTTGGAATGAAAATATATAGATAAAGATATAAAGATAATTATTACTATAAAGAAATATCGAAAAACAGAATAAAATAAAATGCATATGATGATTTTACATAGTTATCTTATCTTTTTTTTTTTTTTTAAAAAAAAAGACAAAATCTTAAACATAACAACAACATAATAACATAATCTCTTATTAAAAACAATAATATCAAACAAATTTCTTTATGAGAAAAAATTTTTTTTTTAATAATTGATAATAAAATTTAAAGTTAACGCATTTAAGATAAAAACAATAGTAGAAACAAAATTTAAGTATAATATAACACAAAAAAGCAAAAATTGATAAACTGCATATTTTTAAACGTATAACAAACGACGACGACGAACGACTTACTGTATTAGATATATATGTATATGTATATACAAAATAAAGAAAAAAATGGGAAGATAATCAAACAAAAAATAATATATGTAACAACAAACAAATGATAAATGCATCTGATTTTTTATAGAATCATTCTTTTTTCTGAAATCAAATAAAAAACATTATAATATCAAAAAATTTATACGTAATGCTACATGAATGTTTATAAACTTTTAAGGAAATTTCCTCCGCAATTTCCTCCACAGCACAGTTATTATAAATATTATATTATTTATATTATAAAAAAATAAATAAAATAAAATACTTTAATAAATATTATAGCAAACATTACCCGAGGTAGAAAATAATAAAAATTCTAGAAATAATATTCTAAAAAGATCTAGAAATTGTCTGATTGATTAATAGTGAACTGAGAGAATTCAAAATTTTAATTTTTACCACCGTGTTATATCACGTTATACAATGTTATACAATGTTACCTAATAAATATAATAAATAATCGATTCTTTTTTTTTAAGATGCGGATTGACACAAAATTGTTGATTTCCGGAAAATATTAACTTAAAATACGCAACATGCCTCAAAAGTGGGAATTATACACAAGGTTGCTCTGCAGGAAGAACATTCTATCAATAAATAAATAAATAAATAATTTTTTTTTCTTCACATGTTATCTCTTGACTTTTTATTTATTTTTAAATGTCGCATCAGTATTGTATAACAAATAACAAATAACAGAATATATTATCAAGATATTATCTAAAGGTAATATTTAAAGACAATAATTTTAAAATAATTTAGAAATCTAATTAAAGCCTAATTTAGAACCTAATTTAAAAAATTAAGTATTAATCGATATCGGGAATTTTTATATGATTAATAAAATTTTGTTTTACATCATCAATTTTTCGTGATATCGTTTCCCTCTTCTAAATGCTAGTTTCTTCTTAATATCGATACATCAATACTCAAAGGTAACGAAAGAAGTCTTTAACCCCTGTAATATAATGATGTAATAAATGTAATAAATTGCGTGCTGAAATATAATCTAAATCACATGTTATCAGTAATTAAATTAAATCACATGGTTCTAATCAATGAAACTTTAAATTTGAGATAAACGATAAAAAAAACGATAATGTATCATGCATGAAATATGCATTCATGATAGCGCAGTAAATTGTCTAATTTTTTAAATAAGAGGTGGTGTTTTTGAAGATAGCATTAAATAGCATTAAACAGCATTAAAATAGCATTTAATAGCATTTAATAGCATTTAATAGCATTTAATAGCATTTAATAGCATTTTAAATAACATTCATAATAAATAAATATCGTTTTTAGAAAATTGGGAACGTCCTCACAAGGCAATAAGAGATTCCTCCCAAAAAGAGAATATGTAGATAATGTATGAAGAATATATAGAATATATAGAATATATAAAAATGCAGGATATGTAACACAGACTGTAAAGAATTAGGATTGTTTGTTTTTGTTTTTTTTTTCAAAAAAAAATATTTCTATAAATAAATAAATAAATAAATAAATAGAGATTAGATTGATTACTTGTATCATTATTCATATTATCATTCTCCTTTATTATTATTCATATTATTCTAATCCTTATTTAACTCATTAAAAAAGAGAATTATAAATTTTATTATGTAAACTAAATTAATTAAAGACAATCGACAACGATTTTGCTATTTTTCTTTCCTTTTCTTTACGCCCATGATGTAATATTACAGTAAAATATATTTCATTCATTTTCAATCAATATTCAATTCAACATTCATTCAATATTTATCATTGAAACTTAAATTTTTGATTTCCCTCTGTTTCTTTTAATATAAAAAATAATAAAGAAGTAATAATGATCTTCATTACTCTCGACCGACCTGTACGTAGAAATGTAGTCAAAATAATTTATTTACAAGTTTGCATTTTAATTTCCATATCCAACAAACAAAAAAATATATATATAAATTATATGTATATTAAGTGGGGGCGGACTTTTTCGGAACTTCCCCATATCTCTCAACAAAAAAATATGCAGTATTATTATGTTTGTTCAAAAAAAAAAAAATTTTTTTTTGTATTGTTTGTTTATTATTATAATTCAAATTCATAATTTGTAATAAAAAAAATAAAAAAATAATAAAAAAATAATAAACTTCTTGTTAAACGATTAAATGAAAAAAAAAATAGTATCACATAAAACAACCCTTTTTTATATACATTGTATTAATTTATATTTATTTATTTATTTATTTATATCACATAACATAAATCATACTTATTAATAATTGATTTTTATTGGTAATTACAGTAAATATAATTATAAACAAATTTTTTTTTACGCGTGCTCCAAAAATATACTAACAATACTATGAATCCAAATGGATACAGGAAAAAGGTTTGCGTGAAATGATCAATGTTTGATGGTAAAGTAGAAAAAAATGAAAGAACAATAAGACAATAAGAAATGGAACTATTGAATTATGAAGAATTTGAAATGAAAGATGAGATAAAGTTCGATGTTAGATTATTGTTATTCTAATAATATACTGTATATAAAATAAAAATTTGTTCAAAATAATAAAATCTTTTTAAATTTTGCGCGCTCTATAAAACAAAGGTATCACTTTCTGTGTCATGTTTATTTGTAATTGAAGTACTATAAAAATTTATTCATTTGAGATTTTCAACTTTAAAAACTTTAAACAAACTCTTAAAGTCTTCTTTCGTTAAATGACTCTCCAAAGATAGATAGATAGATATACATAATAGATTATCTTTAACAAGTGACCTCAAGTTACACTGTAAATTTCCATAAGTTTCTATTGTAATTTGTCAAGTGATAGAAAGGTATCAAATAATTTCTTTTCCCAATTAAATTCAGATAACCACCACAACGACGATAAGATTAACACAATTGGTTATGTATGATAGATTAAGTACATATAAATAATTCAAAGGTAATCAATGTTATCTGAATTGATTTATATATTTACACATTTCTTGTAATATAAATAATATTTGTGTAAAAGTTTTTCTATGAATATAATATAGCGAAAGATTATAGATTAATGTAGATCACTAGAACGCGAGTTAGATCATAATTACGGTGACACAAACGTAGATCATCGGTATAAAGAGTTTTAACTCCTTTTTTTTTTTTTTAGTCTAACATTAGGACCGTGTGCTGTACCTCTTTGTATTGCTTCTGTACCTTGTGAGATTTTCTTTTTACTTTGCGTGCTTTAGGTAACGAAGTAATACGCGACAATATTACATATATTAATTATACAAAGCGATGACGCGTGTAATTAAGCAGTGCTATTATTATCATTTAATTAGTAAAAAAAAAGTAATCGTTTTCTTTGTAATAATTTTTATTAACATAATTAATATGAATAAAAGAATACCTAATAATATATAAGTAATAAATAACAATAATACATAATAAATAATTAAATAATTACATAATTAATGATATTAATAAATAATAAAATAATAAATAAATAAATAATAATAAATAAATAAATAAATAATATAAATAAAATAATAATATAAATAATAATAATAATATAAATTATTTTATCAGTTAACCAGGTAAAAAAATAATATGTGACAAATAGGGTTTCCTACCCTAAAAAAATCTGTCCGAAAAAAATATAATAAAAATTTGATATCCAACGGTGTGACACGGCGTGTCAACTATAGGGGGAGATTCTCACCTAGGTGAGGAATAAATTTTTTCCAAATAAAATAAATAAATTAATAATAATAATAACCACCAAATAATCTACCAACACCACTACTACTAATTTCACAATAAATTCTCATTGCTTCTCTCATTTCCAAATACAATTGAGCAATTAACATATCATTTTGCACTTTTAAAGGTGGATTATCAAACATTGATCTTGCTTTTTGAACTTTATGAAGAAATTCCATTGATGAATTTGTGGGTATAGTTGATTCCTCCTTTTATATATATAGATATGAGAAATTAATTAATTAATTAATTATTATTAAGAGAAGTAGTATTATTATTAAATAATAAGAAAATAAAAACTTACTTCATGTATGAGACTATCCAAAATTGTACACCATTCTTGTGAATATAACCATACTATATCAGATCCATTTAAATGTAAAAATGTGATTAAATCCATAAACATTTCCCAATAAGCTATCCCATTTGGCTATTTTCATATAATGTATATATAAAAATAAGTAAAATGTGTAAATTTTTTTTTTTTAAAAAAAAATGAGTATCAATAATTAAAATTGGTAAATAATTAAAATTGGTAAATAATTAAAATTGGTAAAATGATAAAAATGACAAAAATTGTTAAAAATAATAAAAAAAAAAAGACTTCACCTGAACATCTCTTTCAACAATACTTCCAAACAATTGTTTTTTTATGCTTGGCCATATAGAATTCCAAAATCTCCTTTCCGTAATTTTATGATCATCTTTTGATTGAAATTGGATATTGATATTTTGTGAAGAAGTAAATTGTTGTTGTTGTTGTTGATTTTTAGAAGAACATAAAATGGTCCAAATCTTAACCAAAATGAATGATAGATAAGCTAATTCTCCTGATGGAGTATATAAATAATTTAAATCTCCCGCGACCACTTCATTAAATGGATGTTTTAATGAGTCGGAAAGGAGATCCATTATTTCATCTTGAAAATCAAAACTTGATGTTATTAATTCAGTTGAAGTATCTGTTGTTGTTGAAATTCCTAATAAAATCCAATTTAGAAGACGAATCGTACGACGAGAATCTGTTGGCTGAAAAAAAAAATGAAATAAAAATTATTAATCTTATTTAATCTTGAACTTTTATTTAATCTCGATATTTCTTTATACAAAAAATAAATTGACAACAAGAAAAAAATTTACCTTCGGTGATAAGAATATTTTCTTTAACAAATCATACTTTTGGTTACACATGGAAACAACCAATTGACTTAAACAAACTCCAACTTTAAATTCTTTCTTTGAATATTGTTTAGTGATAGGAGGATTTTCCAAGAAACTTACAAAATCATCAAATAAATTATCGGAAACATTTATAAAATATGAAGGTCGAGTTGTTGATGGTAATCTTTCTTGTTGTGAAAACGTCGAAGAGATTGGATTATTTCTTTTATTTTTTTTAATTGATGGTGAAGTGGTTGATGAATCATAAATTTTTTCTTCTATACTACGAAATAATGGTCTAACCGAAGGTTGTAGATCCCATAACACGAGCTTAACAAAAAAAAAAAGGTGTGTCAATAAAATAAACAAAATCAACAAAATCAATAATAAAATAATATTAATATTCTTTACCTGTAATATAATTATCAAAGTATCTCTATTCATTCTAATTCTTGAACCTCTCAAAGTTGTTTTCAATTCTTCAAGCATAACATCACCAAAAATATTAATTTTTTCTGAAGGGGATACAGTAGAGTAGGCAGATAATAATTTCACAAATGTTTCTATCGTCACTGAACATTTGTTAAGAGCATGTTTTAAACAACTTCTCATTGGTTGTATTAAATTCTATTATACATAAAAAAGTTGATGCATAAAAATATATTAAATAATAATTCGTAAAAAGAAGATAATAATAAATAATAATAATAATAATAATAATAATAATAATAATAATAATAATAATAATAATAATAATAATAATAA